CCCCCCCCCCCCCCCCCCCCCCCCCCCCCCCCCCCCCCCCCCCCCCCCCCCCCCCCCGTAATGCCTCTCTGTCTCCTATCCGCGACTTCGCTCTCGCCCTCTCGCCTTTCTCTTTCTCCGATCAATAAAATAGCCCATCTCCCGCGAAAGCTTATCGCTCGTTTGAATTTTAGCGGAGGACGCCTGCCGACTTTTCCGACCGCGAACGCCCGTCGTTTCGGCCATTTGTCTTCCTCTTTCCTCGGCGAAACCGCGCGAAATGCGCACAATTCCGCGGCGCTCGACGATTTGAGTATGATTTCAATCGATTTGGCGCGAGCTTTCACAAACGCGAACATTTATGTACTCTAGAATATCGATGGCTCGAAATAATGACTATTATTCTTGCTTTAGCACATTTAATACTTTATAATTTAGAGAGAGAGAGAGAGAATAACATCTGATATATCACCATCCACGCAGTTTTATTTTCAGATAACTTGATATTAATTTTTGAAAAAATCACATGATGCAATTTAATTTTTCATGCACATACAGCAACACTGCATGCAATCTTCTGACATTTACATTAAAACTCAGTTTTCTTCACTTGTTAATACAATATAAACATTCGCTATTGATAATTATATAATGCTCGCGCATGTTTCATTATAGATCAAAGAACTTGTTCTTGATAACTGTCGGAGTACGCACATTGTGGGCCTGACAAATGAATTTAGCGCCCTGGAGTCCTTGAGTCTCATCAACGTGGGTCTTACCAGTCTAAAAGGCTTCCCAGAGTTGTCCAGTCTTAAAAAGGTATATATATATATATTTATTGCAAAGCAGATTCAAGATATTAATCTCTTATTTGAGTAAATTTTTAATGCATGAAAATCTTCTATCAGATACTAGAGGAAAGATGTATAAATATCGAAAAATACAATTTAATAATACAATTGTTTTTGCATTATGCAGTTGGAGTTGAGCGACAATCGGATTTCGGGCGGTTTAAATTTGCTTGATTCGAGCCCCAAATTAACTCATCTGAATCTAAGTGGAAACAAGATCAAAGATCTTGATACGCTACAACCATTGGTAAGTTCTTATACCTATCACAGGTATTGAAAATATTTATTTATCACCAAGTCTAATCTACTAATACTAAATTATTGTATATTTCAGAAAGAGTTTAAGAATCTGAAGAGCCTGGATCTATTCAACAATGAAGTGACAAATATGGATAATTATAGAGAGAAAGTCTTCAATCTTATTCCCAGTCTACGATATCTTGATGGGTATGAAAATATTTACTTGAATATTTGCTTTGTTACTTTATTTATTTTCTTAAACTGATTAATTGTTTGTCTATGAATAGATTTGATGCCGATGATTGCGAAGTTGACAGTGAAGGGGAAGATGATGAAGTCAATGGAAACGAAGATGGGGATGGGGAGGATAACGAAGAAGACAGCGAAGAAGGTTGGTTGAGAATTTAATTATAAAATAGTTGTCAATAACAATTAGATTAGAAATACAGAGATGTGTATATTAACAATGAAATAAGTTATGTCAGCGAGTTTCGCACACAGGTAATAATAATACATATGCTTGTCAAAATGCAGTTTCAGATGAAGAAGATGATGATTTCTTAGATGACGATCCAGGATTAGATATGGTCTATTCGGAAAAACTCGGGGTGAGTTCAGTTTATTTCATATTTTAAGTAATTCGTTTAACTATGATACAAAGACATGTTTAAAACTTAATAGAATGTTTATCGAGATTTTTCACTCATTATATACTTATTGTCTGTAATATAATTACGAAAATGTGTAGGTTATAGATTGTAATACGATGACCTAGTTATTTAATAAAACTAAAAATAAATATTGATATGTACAGGAGGACAGTGATGAGGAAGATTACATGGGAGAGGAAGAAGAGGAAGATGATGATGAAGATAATGAAGATGAAGAGCAGGAAGAAGAAGAAGGTATGATCCTCCTAATTTCTATATTATTCTTATTGTTTATTGCTTGACTTGGAATTTTCAAACTATCTAACTAGTAACTGCAAAGAACATTCTAACAAATATGAAGCATCCAGATAATGGAATTTTTTCAAGATATATATAATCTTTTCTTTTATATTTACGCGCGTGCTTACCATACTTTTTATAAACAAGTTTCTATCTTTTTTTACAACAATATTGATTCAATTTTGTGCAGAAGAGTCTCCTGTTCGAGGAAAGAAAAGAAAAATTGAAGATGGAGGAGAGAACTTAAACGATTAAGATGGGTGGGCAAGTCTCTGGTACTGTTGAATGAGTGTAAAATTCGTATAAATAATAACAATAAACGACGCCGAGTGAACAGCTGGGAATCAAACTAATCGACCGACCAATGACAGACTACAGTTAGTGATGTGAATTTATCAGTAAATCATTGACTGTGAGGAAATTGTGTAACAACAAAAGATTTACCATATGGTAGAAGCGGATTGTGAATGAGAAATGTAAAGAAGAAGGGGAGAGAAATAGATAATGATGGCATAAAAATAGGGCTGCATTCCAGCTGGACACAGCACAGTTTTAGTTATACTAACGATATTTTATATAGAGTATATAGTTAGAGTATTAGTGGTGTTGCATAGAGTGAACGGAAGATCGGGATATTAAATGATTTAAAGAGAGAAAATATGAGAGAAAGAGAGAGGGCGAGAGTGAGTGCGAGAGAGCGAGAAAGTGTGCGCGAGTGTATGTGCGTGCGAGAGACAAAAATAGAGAGCAGGAGGTAGCGGAGTTTTACACTTGAAGGAGCATCTTGTCTGTTAGCTCCAGTCGGCCAAAGGCTGGTCACGCTGGAATGCGGTCATCTCGTTAATCAGTACTAAGGTTACATAAGTTACATTTTAAATACATTATTATTGTACCGTGAATAAGTATATAGAGTAAACGAGGAACAACTTTTGTACAGGTTTACACCATACATCGAGGTGCATTATATGCCTCTGTGATTTTTGGGACAGAAAATAAAGAGAAAGAGAGAAATATATGTTGCTCGTATATGTGAGCGTATATATCCGCCGAAGGTGGGATGGAGAAATATGTTATAAAACAAGACTACCGCTGTAATCGATGGCGAAGATACGCATTTTTCGCGAAGATGTTTTAAGCTACAGATCCGTTACAGATATCGCGAGATCCGGTATCAACGGCGGAAAAGAGATAGCAAATAGAAAATAATATCATAATATTTATTATTGTTTTCAATCGCGTGATTCCGATGATAGGAGAGCGAGAGAGTTAGATCGTTTATATATCCAGATATAAAATTCTCCGATACACCTCGATCGACGACGTGTCGAGCGTTGCGCATGAACGCAAACACATGTGTTATTATAACCTAACTTAGACTTTTTTCTAGTAAGCTTTAAGTTCCAGATATTCTCTATACAATGTCTGATATACAACGGCGATCGCATAGCGGCCCATGGCTGTTAGGATTATTGTTATTTACTCCCGGGCATTGCGTAAAAGTTATGCTCCTTTAATATAAAAGAATCAATTTGATTATTATTATGAGATATATGATATATTCTCCTACTTTTGAAGATAATTATACAACTATGTAATTCGATTTTTTTTTTTTTCTTTCTTTTTTTTCTTCCTTTTTTTTTTGTTATGTATATATAGGGCATCACATACATACACACGCACATAGAACTATCGTATTTTCTTTTAATTATGTGTATTCTATCATGAATATATTCTTTGTTCATCTTAAGCAAAAGTTTTTTTTTAATAGGAATTTAATATTGATTAATTATCGAAATATTTTTAATATTGAAGATTGGAAAACTCGTGACGCAAGTACTATAGACTTATTAACTTATCGCTTTAAGAAAAAGCGAAATGTGATTTATTAAACCGAAAAGAGATACGATAATTCTAGGACATTTTGTGTATGCCAAAGTATAATTATGTTGATTGATAATGTGATTAATTTTTCTGTATACATAACTATGTGCAACAGGCCTCAGTCTTTGGAACGAATTACTAAGGAAACAAAAGTCAACATCGTGTGCGTCAAATGATTAACCTTTAATTTCTGTCTCTGAAGTTACCATTGCGCTGATACATTTCGTGATGAAGTGTGAAGATGATAATGAAAGGGGGGGGGGTTAATGGAGATTCATCAATATTATGATTAACATTAAATTACGAGTATGATTTTAAGAAACAAAATATTTATACTTGCGCTTTCGCACTTTTGTGAATTGTACTAAAGTCAGAAATGCAAAATTAGACTTAGGACAAAAACGAAAGGAAAATGTGAAAAGAGACATTTAACGAAACAGACGCAAGATAAAAGGATTGATCCGATGTAGTTAATGGTGAGACTGTGACGAATATAGACTGGACAGAGGACAACCAATTAACTACGTAATCGTGTGAGAATGGATGGGAGCGTGGTGGTGAATGAAAGTGCGAGGAGAGAGGATCGGTTTTATAAGAAAAATAATAATAATTACGGTATATATAGTACCGAGGACCTGGCGCCTCCTTGTCGCCAGTTTGGTTATGGCCTTATCCAATTTTTCCAAGACTAAAAGCAAATTTATATTAGGTACAATGAGTATATGTGAACATGTACAGGTCCAAATCTGTAAATTTCCAATCTGCAATTTGTAATTGCGGCTCGCGCGGAAGCGTATTAAGAGAGTTAAATTATAAATAATTAAGAATTTAAATTATAAATAATTAAAAACACATTCCGCGCGCCCCGCGACACATACACACATACACATATAACACTTTTGTCAATTGCGATTTTGGATAGACCATTTATGTAAGGAAAACAATTTGTCTATCATCTTCTATTATCAGATATATATTACATTATATATATATATATATATATATATATATATATATATATATATATATATA